TAGTGGATATTTTAATATCAGGCAAAATACTTTAAGACAAAATACATTATTGGAGAACAAGAAAGGTATTTTATAACAAGGTCAATCCATAAGGAATCTATTAAAATATATGTAAACATATGTAAATGTCAAAATACATAAAGCAAAAACTGCCAGAAAAGAAAGGGAAAAACAGAGAATTTGAAAATAGAAAATGCAGACTTCAAAATGATACTTTAAAAATTGGATGGAACAAGTAGGAAGAATATCAATAAGAAGATAAGACACTTGCATAAAACTACAAACCAACTAGAATAACAGACATCTATAAAATATTCCAAGCAACATCAAAACACATCTTGTCAAGCACCCATGGAACATTGTTTTGGATAAGCCATAATAAAATACCATATAAATTTAAAGGACTGAAATCACACAAATAATATTCTCTGATAATAATGGACTTAAATTAGTAACCAACAGCATAAGGATATCTGAAAAATCTATCAACATGTAGAAATTAAGCAATATATTTCCATTTAATCAGAAGAAATCATGAAAGAAATTGGAAACTACTTACAGATGAATAAAAATGAAAACACAACATACCAAAACTTATGGGATGTAGTTAAGCAGTACTTAGAGGGAAATTTATAGTTGTAATTGCTTATATTGAAAACATGAAAATCTCAAATCAGTAATTTAAATTCCCACCTTAAAATACTAGAAAAATCAGCTTAAAACCAAAGAAATCATAAAGAATAGTAAATATTTGAGTGGAAATAAATGAAGTAGAGAATAGTAAAGCAATAGAGAACCTAACTAAAACTGAAGATTGCTTCTTTGAAAATAAAAGGAAAAAAAGTGGCAAATTATAGATACACTGATCAAAAAAAAAAAAAAAAAAAAAAAAAAAAAAAGAAAAGAAAAAGGATGAGGACTCAAATTATCAGAGCCAGGAATGAAAAAAGAGACATGAATCTTAAGTCTACAGGTTTATACAGGATCATACAGTAATATTATGGACACCTGTGTGACAATAAATAAGACAAGATAGATGAAAAGGACAAATTCCAATAAAGACACAAACTACCAACACTGACAAATAGGAATAGAAAGAAAAGTAACCTTATTGAAAATAGCAAGGTATGGAATTCTTGGACTTGACCCCTCCCGTAAAAGCAACTAATAAGCTGGCAAAAAATATCAGAATCAACTTTTGTAGAACTCTGGAATCTAGTAAAATAAAAATTGTAACAACCAGGGGGAAATTTGGTGAAGAAAGAGGCTACTGCTATGTGGTAAGAAATTTTAAATTGTCTGCCTACCATCCCCCATGCCCCAGGTTGTCAGCAGTCTGTGGATGGCAGCTTGATATCCTGGTTTACATTGCTAGTGCCAGAGGGAAGAATTCAGATCCCATTCTCATAGAATTCTGGTTGTGGGTCTTAGTTTGTCTGGCAGCTCCCTGAAAGACCAGCACAAAAAATTCCCTTTGTCACACCAAACAGACCATTCCTGGGACTGGAACTGGGATAGTTTCCTGGGTGGCTTTTGCCAAAAACACTTAAAGTCACAGGTATTGGCCACAGCAGCCTGGGACAAGGAACAACATTTGAGGTAAACAATACATTGAGAAGCCTAAGTATGAGAAGTTGGGGAAAGACATACACGGAAGAACAAGCACTTTTAAAAACTCACATATACTAAGGAATTGAAAAGTATATGTGCATACCCAAGATTGGATACATGCTCAGAAAAAGCCACAGAAAACCCTAAGCATTAACCGTGGGCTGTTCTTCAGGATCTGCCCAAGCAGAAAGTAAAGCACTAAAAATACTTCAATGTCAGAGTTCATCTGCAAAGACTGGGAAAGTATTTTTATTCTCATGGTTCTAGACATTTAAAGTAACCATGACCAAATACCAGTTGATTACTGAGCTAATAAGGCACAGGCTTCAGTGGTCACACATGACAAATAATACAGAATTTACAAAACTATTTTTAAAAGTCACTAAACAAAGAAACAACCCACAACAAAGAGCAACAACAAACCTTGGAAAGTGGGAGGATCTAATTTACAGAGTTGATATTTTCTAATATACAAAGTGTCCAGATTCCAACACAAATTGTGAGGCATATGAAGAAACAAGAAAATAAAGAAAATATGATCTATTTATAAGAAAGAAACATTATTAGTCTGACTATAAGAAAGGTTATGTATTGGACTAACTAGACAAAAAAAATTAGATCAACTGTCTTAAATATGCTCAAACAGCTAAAAGAAAAGATGGACAAAGGACTAAGGAAATGAAGAGGCAACACTTTAGCAAATATAAACTATCAGTAGAAAGATAGAAATTTATAAAAAGGAACCAAACAGAAACTCTGGAGCTGAAAAGCACAATATCTAAATGAAAAGCTCACTAAAGGGGTTTAACAGTATATTTGAGCAGGCATGAAAAAGAATCAGTTAGCCTGAAGATAGATCAATTGAGATTATCCAGTCTGAGGAGCAAAAAGTTAAAAAAAAAAAAACTGAAGAAAATTTTAAAAAGCCTAAGAGAACCAGGAGACACATGAAGCATGTTTAACATGTGCATGACAGGACTCCAAGGAGAAGAGATACAGAAATGAGAAGAAAGAATTTTTGAACAAATAAAAGATAAAAATTTCTCATTAGAGGACACACTATCTATGCATCCAAAAAGTTCAGTTAACTACAACAGGATACACATGATCCAAACCAAGGCACAGTATAGTCACATTGTCAAAACCAAATATGTGGCATTACACTGTAGCAACTTTATATTGGCAATTTTCTAGTTTTTGAGGTGGGTGGTGGTTTCACAGTATGAAAGAGGAAAGGGAAGGGAAGGGAAGAAAAAAGAAAAGAGGGACAAAGGGTTAATGATACAGAGTGTATTGTAGACCAAGGATGATGATAAATCTATTCATCTGTGATCCATTTAAAATATATTTTAATACTATATTGTTTAGCTGTCTGACACTCTCTCTAAATAAGAAGAGGTCAAATATTGGAGTGCAAGTTTCACGTGTGAAGAGAAGTGAAGGGAGAAGGTGAGAAGGAAGTTGGTGAAAGCAGTTTGGGGTATACGATTTTGAGGTTCGACATTCAGCAGTGGTAGCCAATAGACAGTTGGCAAGAGGGTCTAAAGCTCAGGGAGAGGATAGCCTGGTGATGGAGATTTGAGAATCATCTCGTGCTTAGAGGAAATGAACAGAAGCCAACTCAGGGAGAGAGAACGTGTGGACTGAGGAGAGAGGAGGCCCAGGAACACAGCTACTCAAGGTGGTGCTCTACTATGACACTACTCACCAGAGCTCTGGACCAAGTGGTCTTGAAAGCAGCCTGTGGGATTCCAAGCAGTTGCTACCTTGGCAAAGTCAAGCACCCTCCCTGTGATCAGCTGTCACACCTGGCACGACGTAACAGAGGGATGCTGTGTGAGGACCTGAGATGCGCGCCAGGTAAAGCACCTGCAAAGAAGCCTCTGCCGTTCTCTCGGCGACCCCTTGCCACACTGCCCCACCACTGTGGTTGGCCTGTCCCTACGGGATGGGGACAAAGTGAGCGGGGTGGGGAACCCAAGTTTCTGGGTGACGCGGCGCTCATGTTGATTGAGGAAGTCCTTATTCCAACTCCCAGATTCAAGGTAGCTCAGTTCAGAGCCCATGAGGAGGCGCAGGTTTCTGGCCGCCCGCAGTGTCCCGCAGGTCGGTGTGAGGTGAAAGCCGGCGGGCCCTGGGTGAGGGATGGGAGTAGGGATCTGGAGCAGCAAAGTGGTGGGGAGGGTCCGAAGGTTGGGTGGGAGGCAGAGGGGACGCGGGCGGGAGTGTGTGGGCAGGTGAGTGAGAGGAGCATCTTGCAGGCTCTGTCACACGCCTCCTCTCTGCGCTCATACATTTTTACCCTGAAATGGGAGGGGGCGCTCTCGCAGTGACAGTGAAATGTAAAGACAGACATATTTCAGAAATAACCTCTCACACTCTGCACCTAAGTGGTGGCCCGCAAAAGAGGGTGAGGGCGGGCGTGTTTGTCTGGGTAGGGAGGGGGTCAGCACAGAGATCCAAACAGTTTGGACAGCATCCTGGTCTGGAGCCTGAGGCCTGGAAAGTAATGGCGGCTGGGATGCGGGGGAGGTAAGTGAGGGAAATGTTGCATGAGGAGGGCCCAGATTCAATTTGCTGAGAGCAACCTGCCAGACGCTCTTGCCCCCTCCTGTCTGTCTCGGCAGGCTGTGTCTGTCCCCAGCACTCTGCAAGACTAGAAAAATAGGAGGGGCACTGGACAGGGATGGTGGGGGTGTAGAGAGCAGAACTTGGGCAGAATTTGAGTTCCCCACTGCCCATCCCCCCCACCACATATATTGCAGACACCCAGCCACGCTGAAGGATGGTACAGAAGGCGGTAGGTCCTGCCAGGGAAACGGTTGGGAGGAATGGTAGGGTAAATAATGTGCAGAAGACACTTGGAGGGCTAGGATTCAGGAAAGGGACCCAGGTCTTTGTGCATCCACCAAATGCCCAGCCTCTTTCTCCTGTCTGTCTGCAGTTCTGTGTGTTTATTCTCAGCACTCTGCAAGGCTAGAAAAGGAAGAGAAACCTGTCCTGAATTCCTGCAGGTCAGTGAAGTAAGGGGGTGTCTGGACAGGGACCTAAAATGGTGGGGATTGTGGAGGGTACAGCATGGGCAGAATTTGGGGTCTAACCACCCACCTCCCAACACATTTACATTTTACCATGCTGAGCTGTCAAAAAGACAATGGCAGGGCCTGAGAGAAATGGTTGGTTCCTGTATGTGGGAGGAATGGTGGGAGAAGGAGCTTAGCAAAAGGGCACACTTGGAGTGCCAGGCCAGGTTAGGGGAACCCAGATAAGAGTACATAGGTGTGAATATGATCCAGACCTGAATTCCGCATTCTACTCCCAAGCCCTTAGTCTCCCTTGTCTCCTCTTCTTCCCACCCCCAGGACAGGAAAAGGAGGCGAAATCTCAACATGGAAAAATTCTGCAATGGAAATGAAGGAATGCCTGAGAAGCAAGGAGAGATGGAATACAAAGAACAGCCACAGGATGTGGGAAAGCCAGAAGAAACTTTTACTCTGGAAGACAAGGAAAAGTTAGAAAATGAGGGGAAAACAAATCACAAGGGAAAGACAGAAAATGAAATTCTAAAGGACAACCAAAAGCCAGGGAGTGTGGCAAAAACAAAAGAAGGAAAGCCAGTGAGCGAGGGAAAATCAGTCAGTGAGAGAAAGCCAGAGAGCCAGGGAAAGCCAAAAGAAGAAGGAAAACCTGTGAGTGAGGGGAAGCCAGGGAACAAAGGACAGCCAAAAGAAGGAGAAGCAGGGAGTGAGGGAGAGCCAAAAGAGGAAAAATCAGAGAATGAGGGAAGGCCAGAGAGCCAGGAAAAGCCAAAAGAAGAAGAAAAACCAGCCAATGAACCAAAGACTGCAGGAAAGCGCCCAGCTGGGGATGATGTACCCAAGAAGGCCAAAAGAAAAACCAAAAAGGGGTTGGCTCAGTGCCTCAAGGAATATAAAGAGGCCATACATGATATGCATTTGAGCAATGAGGAGATGATAAGAGAATTTGATGAGATGGCCAGGGTGGAGGATGAGGTAAAGAAAACCAAGCAGAAATTGGGGGGGTTTATGTGGATGCAAAAAAGTTTACAGGACCCCTTCCACCCAAGGGGCCCAAGGGAACTCAGGGGTGGTTGCAGGGCCCCACAAAGGGGCTTTGAAGACATTCCTTTTGTGTAGTGCCTCTGGAAAGCATTTGCCAGGCCCTGTGCTTCAACCTTATGCTAATAATTTGCTTTAGCTGTCGCTCTTGTTATCAGCAGCCTTCTGACCCAACTAGAGCACTCTATCAGTAGGGGATTTTCACCCGTGCATTGCAAAGACATTATAATTCTTGGGGAAATAAAGCAGCTTATAATATCCTCTACAGAATTGGTCCACTTTTGTAAAAAAACATAAGTTTATGTAATACATATGTACACAGGAAAAATAGAAAATTTGTTCACCAAAAGGTTAACAGTAGTTCTCTGAATTAGTATACTCTGAAGAACTTGATTTCTTTGTTTTCTTTCTACTTGTATGTTTATTTTTTTCCTAAAGAATACAGATTGCTTTTCTCATAAGGAAATGCTAAAATATAAAAAAGGAAAACAATATGGAAAAAGAAATATGAAGATCTGTTCAGTGAATTTATGAAGGCTAGTGGAAACACTTAAAATTTTTGTCAGAACTTAATATGTGAAATTCATATTCTCTCTAGGACTCATATTTAGAAGAATTAACCTGGCCATTATAACAGACCCATTGTTGTAAAACACAGTCTTGTCTTTCTGAAATGGGGATAATACTAGCCTCACAATATTCCTGAGTAGAACAGATGAAGCAGTGTGTATGTGAGCTATGTTGGTCTGGTTTCTACATTTTCCCCTATGTTAGCAGGACCAAGACCCTCATCAGACATTTAGAAGGGGGATGAGGTACAGCTCACCAATAACCAGGAATTAGTCCAGGAAGTCAAAAGATGGGTGCCACCCTACCTGGGGTACTGCTATGTCTGCTGCACAGTGTGCCTCTTCTCATGGGTTGGGCACACTCTTAAGGTTCTCACTGTTGCTGACAGGCTGATGTCCTCAAGGTGACAAAGTCCAGTTGATTTCCCTGGAGTCCCCAGTAAGCCCAAAACCTGCCTCACACCATATCACCTATAGAAGTGAGGATAAAGCTAGAATTATGCTTACACAAGTGGGTAACATCCCAGTGATACTTTGACACTTAATGGATCTCAGATTTTTTTTAGCAAACCAATCCTTTCTGTGTTTGTTGTGTTGTAAATATGTTTTTGTGTACAGCTATCTCTCTACCAGATTCAAATATGGGATGTTGAAATAAAATCTGAGTTCCACACACTGGTTTTCTCATCTGTCAGTGCCTTGTCTGCTTGATTCCTCTTTCCTTAGAGGTAATTGTCTCCTAGGAAACTCCTGCCAGGTCCTGCTTTGCAAGGTTAGCACACCTACCCACACTTAAGGTTTTTAGAGCATTGCTACTCTAAAGTGGTCAATGGACCAGCTGCATCAGCATCATCTGAGAGATAGAAGTGCAGAATCTCAAGTCTCCATCTTAGATGTACTGAATCAGAATCCTAATTTAACAAGATCTGCAATTGATTTCTGTATGCATTAAAGTTTGAGAAGCACTGGTCTACAAGGAGACTACTTAGCCTCCCCACTCCCACCTTCACATGAAATATGTGCCTAGAAGAATAAATATATGTGCTACAGAAGATATACATCACAGATGATATGTGTTAAACTGTGTTACTGTGTTAAACTGTGGTGTGTTAAGCTTAGTCCCACACTCCCTGAGTTAATAGAGCCTGAAACAAATGTAATGAGTCAAGACCTGCAATTTTTTAAGGAAGTAGGGTAGAATAGAATTGATTACAGCCAAATACGAAAGAATCAGAATATATCACAGGTAGGTAGGTTGAAAATTGTTTTGTGAAATTTGTGTTTCCATTATGTGTGCATGTGTGTATATATACACATATATATGTTTATGTATATATATATGTGTATATATATATATATATATATATATATATATATATATATATTTGTGATTGTGGACTGAAGCTTTTAAAAAAACTAAGAAACAATGCATTGGACTCTGCTTCTCAAAGCACAATCTTTCCTTTCCATCCTGGTACCTCTAATACCTCACACAGTGTCTGACAAGTCACAGGTTCCTAATAAAGTTGTAAATAATAATAGGAGTTCTCACCCCAGATCATTTCTTGTCTAGATAAATAACTGTGGACTTCACTAGCAGGGTTTCCTTGCAGTTCCAAATGGAACACCATGTAGAAGGTTATGTACCACAAACTTAACCCTATCTCATTTTATTAATGCTTGCATGTTTTTTAAAAAAATGTTTTATTTATTTTTGAGAGAGAGAGAGAGAGAGAGAGACAGAGCACGAGTGGGGGAGGAGCAGAGAGGGAGGGAGAGACAGAATCCGAAACAGGCTCCAGGCTCTGAGCTGTCAGCACAGAGCCCGACGCGGGGCTCGAACTGACAAACTGTGAGATCATGACCTGAGCCGAAGCTGGACGCTCAACCGACTGAGCCACCCAGGCGCCCCAATGCTTGCATGTTTTTAAAGTGTGCTAGTCTTCTACATGTCAGAATCATCAGGGGACTGTTGAAAATGTGAACTCCTGACCCCGACCTCAGGTCTGTTTCCTGTGTAATTCTGATTCATACTAAAGGCTAATGTCCACTGACTTATATATTCATTATTATTCAGTCATATTAAGTGTGAGTCACCAATAGGTAAGTAGAAGAAAAAAAGTTGTAATCTATTTTTGGAGAGGGATGGGAAATCAAGGTCTTTCTAAGGTATAAAACAAAGTTTGGGAGTAAGAACACATAAAGGCAACGATTAATACATATCTATTGAACAGAATCTGAAAGTGTCTTTAGAGCAAATCACATATATAAAGAAAGGCAGATACAAGTCATCTCATAGTATGGTGTAATTCCTTCTTCAGATGCTATGATAACTATAGCAGCTAAATAGTTCCATCGCTAAAGAAGACTCATGGGACTCCAAATGTTAATGCTTGCAAATCCATAGTTTAGTGCAGAAAAAAAGATTCAGTATAGCAACAGCATTAAGGATCTGTGTCATAGCTAAAAACTGTCTCATAACGAGGCGTCTGGAGTGGCCAGGTGCAAGCTCCAATTTTCCCCCCTGTCTATAAGATCCCTGGCAATATGCACTTCTTCTTTTGGACCAGGCAACACTGATGTGTACATAGAATACCTCAGAACCAGAGAGCACAAATGCAGTCTCAGCCCAGGATTCTCCTACACTGATGGTTATGTAGGCATATTCTTGATATGTAGCTAGCTTCAACAGTAGAGCTCTTGGTGGGAAGATTCACCAAAATCAGGTGCAAATAACCTTGTTACCAATAAACAACAAACTAGTACAAAGCATCCAAAACTCCTCAGACCTATGGTTATAAAACAATATTCTTAGTATATTTAATGCCTTTACTATGGGACAGTACCACACAGGTGCATTTCTTATTTCAGTAGAATAGCTCAGACAAATCCCAGTCAGGTTAACCTCTAATATTGTTATATGCCTTTTACTCTCTTCATTGCCATGTAAATAAAGCTGATGGGGTACCCCTTCTCACTGCACACACAATTCCCAGTGACTACTACTAACCTGCCCTCACCCCAGTTGCTGGATATCTATCCACCTTCTTATCTGGATTCACTCTCCTCCCTGTTTTATGTCCGAGGTCTGGCCTGTATGAACTACATCAAAGGATTCCTTTGTCCTTTGGGAACCAGTGGTGGATAATGTGGTCAGGAAATTTTCCTCCTAGTTTGTTTCCTGCACTGTCATCAGATGCTGAGTCTCCTCTCGAAAGGTTCCTGCAAGGTGGCCTTCTCAACATAGGCTCTATATCTCCAGAGTTTAGCAAATCCTCTCTTCCTTTGTCCCCCAGGCCTAGGGCTGATAATCTTACCTTTACTAGCCATGGAGTATTGTACTGTCCCTGTGGTTCTCAAATACTCTTCTCACACCATTGTATATTGTATTTTTTTAAATCTCCTTTCACATTTTCTTTCTTTTTTTAAATGTTTATTTATTTTGAGAGACAGAGTGTGAGCGGGGGAGAGGCAGAGAGGAAGACACAGAATCAGAAGCAGGCTCCAGACCCTGAGATGTCAGCACAAAGCCTCTCACAGGGCTCAAACTCAGGAACAGCAAGATCATGACCTAAGCTGAAGTCAGTCATTCAACCTACTGAGTCACCCAGGCACTCCACCTTTCACATTTTCTAATGTGAACGTGCCCCCTGTTTCTGTCATGCTCTTCTCAGATACAGTAGATACCAAAAGTTACTCCAGGAATTGGGTGTCTCATTTGAGGAGTGAAAAATAACCTTCTTACAATGGGGGTCAGGAGAGTGGGGAGCAGGTGTTAGGAGAGGTTCACTGGTAATGGCATGTAGTAGTATCACACTTAATCAAATTAACACCACTCATGGCATGGAATAAAGTACAGAAATCCAAAGTTTTGGGAAATCAAGTAGATGTGTCATTTAAACACTGTGTTGAAAATAATTATCCAAAAGGTTGTGAAGTCACCTACATTCACCTGATGGTCCTAAAGAGTATGCATAGGAAAAAGAAGAAATTGAAAGCTATGAAAATACAATAGAAAACACATCTAGATCACTAGAAAGCCTGCATGACATGTTTGGAGGAGTCCCTCATGTTATAGATAAAGCTGAGGACCAAGCCCAGGTACTCAGTGTTGCAGAGTTCCACTGCCAATTAAATATTCTACTTGCTATGGCTTTTACAATAGGGTAAGGGCACATGTAGAGAAGGAATAGAACCTTGATGTATCAGATAGAGACTTTGTGTAGACATGGTCTGAAACATTAAGAAATGCAGTGGTCAGAGGGTCAGCAAGCATTTTTGAAAATTTCTGTGTGTCTGTGCTCTGTAGGCTGGAGACAATGGTGAAGAATGCTGCAGTGGAATTGGCTACTTGATCTTAATGTGAATTGAAGGGATCCTAGAGTGGTGGGGGTCAGGTGACAGTGCTTAATCGTATAAGACAAGGTAAGTACAATAACCACAGTAAGCCACAAGAATGAAATGCTAATTAGAGGATGTTTGACCCACAGGGATCTGTGGTGAGGGCTA